GGCTCACTGCAAGCTCCGCCTCCCGGGTTCCCGCCATTCTCCTGCCTCAGCCTCCTGAGTAGCTGGGACTACAGGCGCCCGCCACCGCGCCCGGCTAATTTTTTTTTTTTTTTTTGTATTTTTAGTAGAGACGGGGTTTCACTGTGGTCTCGATCTCCTGACCTTGTGATCCGCCCGCCTCGGCCTCCCAAAGTGCTGGGATTACAGGCTTGAGCCACCGCGCCCGGCCAGAAATAGTCAAGTTGGTGTGAAAATTGTCTCAGTCCTTTGACAGACATTTCTCCTTCTGTGCAGGCAATGACAGGTGCCCTTAGAGAGTGGAGGAGAGGGTAGAGTTGGTGTGAAGCAGCACTCCAGAGCGTCCCGGTTTTGGATTGTTAGGATCATTTCAGAACATGGGATACAATAAAGTAAACAGCTGATTAAGATGCAAGATGCTGGTGGGTGGTGCTTTGGCTCTAGGCATCAGGGAGAGGCCGTGAAGGAGCATGGTGGGCGTAGATGACCGTACCCAGCCAGGTCACGTGTGCCTGGATGGGGTCTCTGTTCCCTTTGGGTTAGGGCAGTGGGGGAGCTGTCTTCACTTCTCTCCAGTTACTTTTCCTGACATGTAACATCCCTAGAAAAACAGTTCATGTGTTGTGTGCATACAGCGTCGTGTATTGCATGATGAAATTTTATACATGGAACGTTCCTGTGTAAGCAGCACCCAGATGAGGAGGCAGAGCATGACCAGCCTCCAACCCCTCGATGGGGCTCGCGTTCCCCAAGGTATCTGCTGTCCTGATGTCTAATGGTAAAGACGAGTTTTATCCATTTTTGTATTTTTTTAGCAATGGGATTCTGTGGCATATCTTTTTTTTTCTTTTACAACTGGCTTGTTTTTCTCAACTGAATGATTTAGACTCCCTTAAGTGTCATGTTGAGTCCAGACAGGTGACAAGCTACAGTTTCAGGAGAGCTTTTTCAAAAAGGGGGAAAAAATCCCACAATGATAAAATAGTGATGAAATACATCTCTTCCAGCTTCCTGTAACACTATTGACACTGAACAGAGCCCTCACTCAGCTGCCGTGATTTTAGGCTGAACTTGGTAGTATAGAGTGTGTAGTTGGAATATAGCCTTTCCTAGGACATCCTTTCCCAGCCTGTCCCATGCATCTTGCGCCCTGATGGAGCACTTGTTGGCATGTTCTAAGCAATCTGTCTGGAGAGTAATAGGCAGAAAGAGTATTACAGAGCCCACGTGTCCTTCAGCGTAATGACTGCTGAAGGATGGAGGTATGTTGTATTGGGACGTTTCACCTGGATACCTGGATCTGAAACGGCTGCCTGCCCCCCGTACCTTTCCTTGGATTCTCCCCTCTCTTAGACGCCACCCTTCCTTTCTGGGGTGTTGCTTTGCTGAAGTAATGTCAGTAGAGGTGCCTCCCTCATCCCTGCCTTGAGTGTAGAGCGTGCCTGCATTGGCACACTCATGACTGTCATCCGTGCCTTGAGTGTAGAGCGTGCCTGCATTTGCACACTCATGACTGTCATCCGTGCCTTGAGTGTAGGCGTCTGATTGCACCTCTTCCTGCCTTGAGTGTAGAGCGTGCCTGCATTTGCACACTCATGACTGTCATCCGTGCCTTGAGTGTAGAGCGTGCCTGCATTTGCACACTCATGACTGTCCATGCCTTGAGTGTAGAGCGTGCCTGCATTTGCACACTCATGACTGTGAGGTGGAACGCCGCTGCCTCTTGATCATACCTCATCTCCCCTCTGCTTCCGTTCAGGCCCGCGCTGGCCTCGGCCGTGGTGCTGGCTGGAGCCTCAGGGCTGGCCAAGGGTGACCCTGGGCACCTGACCTGGGGAGGGGCCTGCTGCGCCTGTGTTGCTTTGCTCACCACAGTTGTGTTGTGGCGTTGGAGCTGGTCACCAGGCTGCATGCACTGTGAGCCTGTTTTCCACAAGGCCAGCGTGCCCAGGTGACGTTGGATTACTCACAGGAGAGTGTGGTGGCGATCACAGCAGACAGCTGGTGAGTGGAGATGGTGGTTTTGCAAAAAGAGAACTTTACGTAGCACAGTGAGCTCAGGTCACGTTTCACCACACAAGAGCAAGCAGCACGTGGCAGTTTCTGGATGGGAGCTTCACTTGTGGTGGCAAACTTGACCCTGCCCCTTGGTGGTCACGGGGCCCAGGGAGCTTTGTGTCTGCTGGTGACTGTTCGCCGGCGCTGTTGTTGCCAAACAGTGAACGGGGACTTCTTGATTAGATATGAAAAATGCATTAAATATTTCACTTACAAATTTGAATTATTAAATATATATTTATAATTAATACTTAATCTGTAAACACATTTAAATAGATAAGTATTAAATATTTTTGGAATATTACAGCTACTCCTTACTGAGGATCTGTTGTGACCTCTTTGATGCTTTACCTTTTAAAAATGTTTTTTTCGGTGATTTATACATGCACTTAGTTTAAAGTCAAGTAATTCTCTGAAACCTGCTATTAGGAAAAAACACAGTAGATTTGGCCACTTTTAGTTTTTTTCCCCTGGTTCTTTCTTCGTTCATTTTTATGGTACATAGTACATACGTATTTATGGGGTACACGAGCTGTCTTGATACAGGCATACAAGGTGTAATAATCGTATCAGTAACTGGGGACGTCGTCCCCTCTAGCAGCCGTGACTTCTGAGTGCTGGTTCTTAAGAAGTGCTTTCTGATGTGGATAGTTGTTAGTTTGGAGTCTGTGGGGCTGAGGGGGCGACCTTGCTGGACGGTTCTGTTTGGCTGTCTTGCTCCTCCGTTGGTGCTTTGTAGGTATTTGCCTGTGTGTCTCTAAATAAAGTGCCCCCCTTTTTTTCTTAATTTGAAGTGATATCAATGTGGATTCCCACAGAGAAAGAGGAGCTGGTGCTGTTTTCCTCCCCTGGCCCCCTTTCCTGCATAAATGCCTAGGCCGGTCATCCCCATGGCTGAGTTCCACCATGCTTTCACTGAGATCTGTGTTCAGGGTAACATGACGAGGCGAATGCTATTCAGAGCAGAGCCACATTGTATGCTATGGCTGTTCTTACCCATAGCGTTTTGTTTTGGAGAATTGGTAATTCTCATTTCTTTAGTTTTCTGTGTACTTTTTGCAGGTTGCAGATCTAGTCCTTTGCGTATTTCTAAGGGTCTCTTTGACATTCAAATACGTTATTTTTTTGTCTTCTCTTCCTGATTAACACTCTTGGAGCCTGTGCCGTACTTTAAACTCCCTTGGTCGTGAGCCAGGCTGGCCGCACAGCTGCTGCCTCTGAGCCGCCTTCCGTTGTCACCTGGGACACTCCCCCTGACTGTGTAGCTCTCCTCTACCTCTTTCTCTTCAGTTTTTTTGTTGGTTAATCCCCCTGTTTTGGAGAAGCACCTTTTTAACTCCTTGAGAAAGGGGTGCATGGGAAGTAAATTTTTGAGATATTGTATATCCGCAGATGTCTGTTTTATTAATTAGTTTTTTGTCTTTAGTTTTCATAAGTTTAATTATGGTATGAGTTGGTTTGAATTTCTTTAAGTTTATACTATTTGGGGTTCACATAGATTCCTGGATTGGTATATTTATGTGTTTTGCCAAATTTGGGATATTCTGAGCCATGTTTCTTACCCTGCTTTTCAGCTCTGCCCTCTTAGACTCAGCTTCTGAGACTGATACCAGTCTTTGAAGTTCTGTTATTTCCCACAAGTACCTGGGAGTGAGTGTTGCTGGATGGGGGGCTGATGATGGGCCTGCTAGTGGTAGAGCGGGGGCTGAATGCTAAGAAGTGTGGGTGGTCTCAGGCCTTCCCTATGGCTGGGTGGAGGGCAGGGAGAAGCCGGTGTGGGCAGATGGAGTCGCCTGCTGCCCCCTGGTGGGGATGGAGGCCTGGACTCTCTGCTCATGTCACTGGTGCTCCCTGGAGCTCTGCACACTTTGTGCATTTCGTGGGGACACTGTGTTGCAGGTGGGCTGGGCTCGCCCACTGTCAGTGGTAGGGAGGTGGAGTGGGCCAGGGCTGAGGTCTGCCGGGCAGCCCTTTCCTTGCTCCTGTGCCGGCACGAGCAGGCTTCTCCTGGGGTTGTCAGGCTGTGCCCTTTGGTAGTTCTGCGTCTCCAGCCTCTCCGGAGCTCTGTCCAGGGCGGATGGAAATCAAAGAGGCCCCAGCCCCTCTACCTTCCTCTTTCTACCTTTCAGAAATCTGAAAATATGTACAGTTTTTGAGAAAAATGCAAATTAAAATATGAGGTACTATTTCTTCTTGTCAGTTTGGCAAAAAATAGGAATATTTGGCAATATTGAGTGTTGGTGGAAGTTTGAAATAAGAACTTTTAGATACTGTTGGTGGAGATGTTGCTTGGTGTAGTTTGTAGAAACCTTTTGGAGGACAATTTAAAAAAATGTATTAAAAAGTTAACTGTAATAAATATGTCTTCTGACCAGAATTTAATATATAGGCTTGTTTACAGGTATATTCGAAGGTAGACATACAAATATTTTTAATGCAGCCTTGTCTACACAAGGAAAGCACTGTCTATGGTATATGGAAATATACTGGAAATAAATAATCTGAAAATCCACTAATGGAGAGTGGGTTCCATAATGAATGCTGTAGTCATATAGCATAACATGAAGTGTTAGGTAAGCACCAGTAAGTACTGCCAGAGAAATGACCATGTTGTCTTAACTTTTGCAACTTGTGGAGAAGTATGTGTAGTGTGACTCTGTCTCCACGTACATGGATGTGTCTGATTATGTAGGCGTCACAGTGGCAGACCAGGACCTTTGAATGCTGTGAAGAGGGTGTTCTCTGGGGGCTGGAGTGGTGCTAGTGGTGGTCATGGTGCACTGGAAGGGAGGAAACTGAAATTTCTCTAAATGTTTTTTTGCCGTTGGGCAGTTATGCTACCTTTGTACTAGTAAAGTATGATCTGTTTTATAATGAAGTAGACTGTTCTTGGTATAATTTTTCTCCCAATCTTCCCCTTTTAGGACATGACCGATAATAGCAACAATCAACTGGTAGTAAGAGCAAAGTTTAACTTCCAGCAGACCAATGAGGACGAGCTTTCCTTCTCAAAAGGAGACGTCATCCATGTCACCCGTGTGGAAGAGGGAGGCTGGTGGGAGGGCACACTCAACGGCCGGACCGGCTGGTTCCCCAGCAACTACGTGCGCGAGGTCAAGGCCAGCGGTAAGTGGCCGAGCCTGTCCTGTGTGTGGCTTTTCTTTGCCATGAGCAGAAAGAAGTAAATGTACTTGACATAGCGTTTACTCTCCAGCTGGACCTGTGCAAATGACCTGGTCTTAGGATACGGTTTTTTGTTAGATGTAATGGATTTTCATCTCAGCCCCACACTGGGGCCCGGGCATCAAGGGCTCTGTAGTTACCAGGCAGCATTTCCTTTCGTCCTGGCATTTTTCAGATGTGAAGAGAAACATCTCAGATCTTTAATCGTTGCAGTTTTACTGTGATAGAATTGATCCTTTTTTTTTGGGGGGGGGGGCGGAGGGCGGGGGGCTAGTGTCAGGACTTGGAGTTGGTGATCCGCAGGCTGGATTTAATTTTTGTGGCTATGGGTGCTTTTGGCAGTGGCGTGCAGTGAGGTAATTTCTGTCATTTTCTTCGTACTAGTGATACTATTTTACAAATGCATTGCTTCCTTATGTTTTGTAGCTGTTCACATTGTTTCACCGGCTTTCCGATTTTGAGGCTTGTGTTCTTATGAAAGAATAGTGATCCTTGGCACGTGGCTGTGGCTGTCGGGCTGTCGTGCCTGTTGTGGAAGCGTGTGGATGGGTGGGCAGAGGTGGGGGGTGGGATTTGTCAAGGGGGCGTCATGTGTGTAACTTGCATCCTGCCCTGTGGTTGAAAAACACCGTTGTATACTACCGTTCCTCTGATTCTGCTGGGGAAAGAGTGACTTAGAGAGAATAGCTGATACACAGGGAGGTGTGGAAAGAACGTGATGTAAATTTATAGCTCTGCTCTAGGGCTTGGGTGACTGAGCCTCAGAGCCACAGGTGTTTCAGATGGAAAATGAGGATGATCGTTCTCCCTTGTGCGGTCTTGTGGGGTTGAATTGTTAAGGTTTGTACTATGTATGGAGTCTGGCAGAGTAGGAGCTAAGGGAATGTTAATGGCTGCTATTGTTTTTCTAAGGTAGCAAGAAAAAAAGAATATGGGAATATGACAATTTTGATGTAAAAATATTTTTTCAGTGACCTCAGAAAACAAGTAAACTTCTCTGGTAGAATTTCTAGGAACACATGCCTATTCTTTTTCTATTGTGTGTATACATACACATATATACAAAGCAGTTTGCCATTTTTAAATGTACTGTTCAGTGGCACTAAGTACATTCACATTTTTATAACCATCACCAGTGTTTATCTCCAGAACTTTTTTCTTCTCAAACTGAATTCTCTTCCCATTAAACAGTCCCCTTTCCCCTCCCAGACCCTGCCCTCTACCATTCTGCTTTCTGTCTCTGAATTTGATTACCGTTGGTGCCTCATGTAAGTGCAATCATTTTGTCTTTTGACTGGCTTATTTCACTCAGCATAGAGTGCTCAAGGGTTTTCCATGCTGTAGCATATGGCAGAGTTACCTTCCTTTTTAAGGCTGAATATTTCATTGTATGTATGTACAACATTATGTGTTGATGGGAACTTGGGTTACCTTCACCTCTTGGCTGTTGTGAATAATGCTGCTAAGAGCATGGTTGTGTAAGTATTTGAGTCTTTGCTTGTCAGTTGTTCTCTGTTTTCTGTATATACCCAGAAATGGAATTGCTGGGTCAGATGCTAGTTCTGTGATTAAGTCTTGAGGAACTGCCACGTGGTCTTCTCCAGTGGCTGTGCCACATCACGTTCCCACCAGCAGCGCACAGGACTTCTGCTGCTTCTGTGTTCTCGCCAACTTGTTTTGTGTGTGTGTGTGTGTGTGTGTGTGTGTTTAAATAATAGCCATGCTGTTGAAAGTGAAGTTGCTACTGTTTTTGGTAGTTGTTAATAATAATTTAAAAGGCAGTATTTTTTATTGTAATAAGTCGACTTGGGCAGAATTTTTTTCTGGCTGCTTGTTATGTTCCAGTTAATGTATAAAGTACTTTCCATTTGCAACTCGGTTCTCCCCATAACCCTTGAAGACAAGTATTGCTGGGCTATTAGGAAGCGGGTAGGTTACAAGTACATGACATCCTTTAAAAAAATCTGTCCATGTGTAGAGCCCACTGAGAGCGTGGCACTGGCACCATTCTGAGGGGTGGAAATGGCAACTTGACAGACATCGCTGTTAGGAAATGCAGTTTTGTCTGTGACTCAGTTGGATGGCGCTGGCCTGCATGAGCCTGCCTGGAGACCTAGGGCTAGGGCAGGCCCAGTCCATGCTGTGAGCCCATCTCCTAGCCCGGCCCTGCCAGTTGGAGAGATCTTTCTTCTGGGGACCAATGACAGCAGCCCTGGGCCAAGAGGCCTGAGATGGCGCCAGTGGACTTTCCAGGAGGACACTTGAGCCAAGGCAGAGGAAGGAGGACCTCGTTGCTCACCTTTGCCAAGGAGAGTTGAGGTTACAGAGCTGCTGAGTGGACGCACCTTTGGAGTAGGGACAGATGCTTGTTCCAGCTGGTCTTTCTTTAATTCTTAAGTGAACTCCTCCTTAAGTGTGAATCCTGGACTGACTGAAGCACAGTAAGAGTGCAGGTGAGTGGGTTTTCACTTTTCATGTATTTTTCCTGGTGAATTTTTTAGAAGTAACCCAGCGTAAGGAAATTACACTGAAAAAAATGCGGTTTGTGGATCTCAAAATCCTCTCCAGTGGAACGTGGTTTTCAGACACATTTGAATGTTGTCAGTGTCATCTGCCATGGGAATTTGTCTTGCAGTGTGCTGTTACCTCTGATAGCCCACAGGAAGGCATCGTGAGCTCCCTCTTTGGAGTGGATTGTGGGTGCTGGAGCTGGCAGCAGCAGAGGACGCTCTCCAAGGACCAGCAGGGCGTGTTTAGAAACACGGCTCTTGTGAGGAACGGTGCTCTCACTTTGTTCTACCCGCCCCCACTCATGTCTTATGTGTGTCTGAGCGTGTATGCGTGCCCGGTTTAAACGTGTGTGCGTGTACATGGTGTGTTGCCATCAAGGAGCTCTTTGCAGGGGTCACACTGAATCCATAGGTGTATTAGGGTTCTTCAGAGGGACAGAACTAATAGGGGATATATATATATATATCTCAAGGGGAGTTTATTTTATATATTATATATATAAACATGCGTATATAATAAACATGTATATATATTATATATATAGGAGTTTAACTTACATGATCACAAGGTCCCACAATAGGGGAATGTATAAATACGTACATGTGTGTATATATATGTATATATGTATATACACACATGTATATATGTATACTATATGTATACATACACATACACGCATGTATATATGTATACTATACACATACACACGTTTCTGTGTATACTATATATACGCATGTATCTGTATACTATATACACGTATGTATACTATATGTACACATGTATCTATGCATACTATATGTACATACACGCATATGTATGTATACTATATGTATATACACACATGTATATATGTATACTAAATGTATACACACACATATGTATGTATATTATATATGTATACAAGGTCCCACAATAGGTCATCTGCAGGCTGAGGAGCAAGGAGAGCCAGTCCGAGTCTCAAAACTGAAGAAGTTGGAGGCCGACGTTTGAGGGCAGGAAGCATCCAGCACAGGAGAAAGATGTAGGCTGGGAGGGTAGGTCAGTCTCACGTTTTCACATTTTTCTGCCTGCTTTATATTTGCTGGAAGCTGATTAGGTGGTGCCTACTAGCTTAAGGGTGGGTCTGCCTTTCCCAGCCCACTGACTCAAATGTGAATCTCCTCTGGCAACACCCTTGCAGACACACCCAGGATCAATACTTTGTGTCCTTCAATCTGATCAAGTTGGCACTCAGTATTAACCATTACAATAGGTTTTGTGCCAAACTGAGACTTGAGTAACTTTGGAAAATTTCCTTTTTTCCTGTTTATTTTTTTAAATTCAAGAAATACCATTTTTGAGCATGTCAGTGATTAATAAGCTAAACTTTATCTGATGGTTGAACCAAGGGAATAACCTTCTGTCCCTGTTGTTCTCTGGTTACCTGAGCATATTGTATGGAAAGTCCTGCAAGTTTTATTTTAGCCTATTTATTTTTAATTTTATTTTACTATTTCATTTTGAGATGGAGTTCCACTCTTGTTGCCCAGGCTGGCGTGCAGTGGCTCTCACTGCAACCTTTGCCTCCTGGGTTCAAGCGATTCTGCCTCAGCCTCCCGAGTAGCTGGGATTACAGGCATGCACCATCATGCCTGGCTAACTTTTGTAGTTTTAGTAGAGACGAGGTTTTACCATGTTGGCCAGGCTGGTCTCCAACTTCTGACCTCAAGTGATCCACCCGCCTCAGCTTCCCAAAGTGCTGGGATTACAGGCGTGAGCCACCATGCCCAGCCTAGTCTGATTTTAAACGGGGGCATTTGAGGCAAGTGTGAAATCACATTTTTTACCATGTCACTCTAGAGCAGTTAAGAATAAAATTCTAGGATCACAATTACATTTCAGTATAGCAGACTTCCCTCTCATCTCTGGCTTTGCTTAATGTGGTTACAATTACCTGTGGTCAACCCTGGTTTGAAATAGGTGAGAACAATACAGTAAGATACCTTGAAAGAGAGACCACATTCACATAACTTTAGTTATAGTATATTGTTATAATTGTTCTGTTTCATTATTAATTGTTGTTAATCTATTATTGTACCTAATTTCCAGATGAAACACACATAGGTATGTATAGATAGGAAAACATAGTATATATAGGGTTGGTATATATACAGAGGTATAGCCGCAGTTTCAGACATCCAGTGGGCAGTCTTGGAGGTGCCCCCGTGGATAAGGGCGGCGGCTGTATTGCATGTTTTCCAGTAGTTGATGAGGCTTTCTGATTTTGGAATTAGGTTTCCTTTTTTGAAGAGTGTGTTTAATGTATTTTGATTTATAGTTAATTAGTGCTTGATTTTTCTAAAAACAAAATTGTGCCAGGTTCCAAACTTAGAGACTTCTCTGACCATCATGTTAGGATCATTTCTTTATTCCTGAAAACACTGACTTCCTTT